GAACGAGATGACGCGGGACACACGTTTTTCGCATGTGACCGCTGGACAAGACTCAGACAGGAACTGGAACGATCGGTCGGTAGCATCATTAATAATAATATTGTGGCCGTGATGCTGCGTGAACCCGAATGGTGGCGCTTAGTCGCTACCTATACGGAAACTGTACTGAGACGTAAGAACGCGGACGGCTGCCTGACAGATGACTGAGCAGACGAAGTGACGCCACGTAAAGAGATACGGAGGAACGACACGAACGGACGAACACAGACAGAACCTCCTGTCAGAAGTAATATCAACATAGTCCCTGGCTAGGGGAAGGACACCAAGGAGTGGGTAGGCCTGTTTTTTCGGGGAGTCCCACATAACCCCTCAGTCAGAAGACTAAGGGAAATCCGCAAAAAGGATTCCGTAACTCTTTGTTAAAAAAATAATAATAATAATAATGATAATAATACCCGAATACCCAAGATAAATAAAAGTCGATTATCAAGGTCGTTTTTGACTTAAACATAACATGTGTTCGTGCCACATTTAGTAACGTGAATCAATCTAACCAATGTATGTAAAGCGGGAGTGTCCAGTCTATCTAGGTAAGGTAAGAATGGTGAGCCGATCAAGACAAGACGTTAGCTACCCAGCGAATGAAGGCAAGGTATTAATTACCCAGTCAATTGAGGCAAGATGGGAATGCCCAGCCAATGAAGGCGAGGTGTTGATTACCCAACCTATTGAGGCAAGGTGGGAATGCCCAGCCAATAAAGGCAAGGTATTGATTACTCAGCTAATTAAGGCAAGGTGGGAATGCCCAGTCAATAAAAGCAAGGTATTGATTACCCAGCCAATTAAGGCTAGGTAGGAATGCCCAGCCAATAAAGGCGAGGTACTGATTACCCAGCTAATTAAGGCAAGGTTGGAATGCCCAGTCAATAAAAGCAAGGTATTGATTACCCAGCCAATTAAGGCTAGGTAGGAATGCCCAGCCAATGAAGGCGAGGTATTGATTACCCAACCAATTAAGGCAAGGTGGGAATGCTCAGTCAATGAAGGCGAGGTATTGATTACCCAGCCAATTAAGGCAAGGTGGGAATGCCTAGCCAATGAAGACAAGAGGATGACTACATATAGAGTTATGGTCAAGGTTGTAACACAAACATTTATCTCATAAAATGTTCAAAAATACCGCCGTTCAAATTTCTGCAGTGTTGAATTCTACGTTCAAAGTTTTCAACTGCGGACAACAAAACGTGACGCGGAATAGCTCTACAAGCTTGTATGATACGTTGCATCATATCTTGCCGTATTGTTGGTTGCTGTGCATAAACACTTTTCAAATAGCCCCATAAAAAGAAATCTGGACTTGCTAGATCTGGTGATCTTGGACACCACTCAGTAATGTCATTACAAATGCCTATCCATCGTCTTCGGTATCGTTGGTTCAAGAAGTGACGAACTATTAGTGAGCGGTGACAGGGTGCACTGTCCTGTTGAAGCCATAATCGTCGTCTTGTGTCCGAGTCCACATTTTCCAATAATTCTAGTAATTCATTGTGCAGAAAATTAAGATATACTGCGCCGTTGACATTCCCATCGAATGTAAGGTCGCAAAAAATAAGGTCCTATCAGATAACCATTTATTATACCGCACCAAACTACGAGGCTCCATCTATGCTGATTATCAACATGACGTACCCAATGAGGGTTCTGGATAGACCAATATGAATATTATGGCGATTGAGTTGCCTATTACTATGAAATGTAGCTTCGTCCAAAAACAGTACGTATCTGAAAAATTCAGGATTTTCACGAATTCTTGCTTGTACTCAATTACAGAATTCAAGTTTGCAGCGGAGATCATCTGGCATCAAAGCTTCAGTCAAAGTTATGTGATACGGATGAAATGTATGAAGCCGCAAAATTCTACCGGCTGTTGTTCTTGGGATTCCAATATATGTCTGAATTCCACGCAGAGATATGATGATCCAAATCAACCATTGCCAAAACAACGAGAATTCGTGGGTCATCGTTATTCTGTCTCATAGTGCGATGACGATTTCTGCGTGTTCGTGGTCAACGTCTCTCTCTTCGTTCAATGATTCGGATTCTTACGTGGTTTAGGTACCAAAGCCTTCCTGGGTAATTTTGACGGTAATAACTTGCTGCAGCACGATATCGACCTTGACATGCCCCGAGAGATAACAGAATGTCAACATTTTCATTTCTCGAATAATCTGGCATATTTGGCCCTTTTGAGTCGCTAGACACTAAGAAATTTCCACGTGAACTATCCTGAGAAGGACTGTTCACGAGTCACCTCTTCCATTATTAATACTAAAGAAGTTATTTTCCGATTTAGTTGAAACTCTGTAGGCTTGTCCGGAATCACACCAGAAAAGAGAATAAAAATAATTTGTTTTCCTACAAAATTATTTTCAAAAATTGATTCTACGGGAAAAAATATGAAAGAAACGTATGTAACGTTTTTTTATCAGACTTCAAATGATTACTTTTCGATAATTTGTTTAAATAACTTTTAATAAATAATTGTAAATGGCAAAAGAAAAAACACGGGTATTTTTTTTCGACTTACCTGCGATTGGCATAGTTAGTTTGGCGCTATCTTGCCCAGGTTTGGCAAGGGCCTTAATGGATTAAGACAATGTGAGAGTGACCAGTTTAACTTTCTTTTCAAATCCGAAATAAAAAAATTAGGTGTTTTGAGTAGCCGACTTGGTAACCAGCCAAGTTAGGCAAGCTTATTAATAATAATGAAAGCTTATTTTACATTTTTTATCCATTTTTCAAGGCTTTATTCAAGGATTCATTCAAGATTTATTGAAGATTACGTACAATTTTATTTCATTTAATCAACGAAAGTTTATTTTTTATTTTTCAGCTTAGACGCCGTGTAAACTTCCTAATTGTTGTTGACATTCTGTTATCTCGGGGTGTATTCGTGTTCGACGTCTCTCTCTTCGTTCAATGATTCGGATTCTCACGTGATTTGTGTACCGAAACCTCTGTGCTGCAGCAAGATATTACCGTCCAGTTATTGGGTTGGGGGGGGCAAGATATTATCAGCAAGTTATTGGGTTATTACAATTAATCTTACCCTTGCCCGATCATCCCTGTGCATAGATGAAGAAAATAATAAATTTGACCCCTACATGGCCTTACGCGGGGTGGGGGGGGGGGGGGGTTAACCGCACTCCACACATAATACCTTATAAGAACGTAGAATTTCTTGCTCTTTCAGAATCCCGGATCAAAATTATAGGTTTCTATTAAAAAAATAACCTTCAAAAATAAATCTCAAGGTCAAATCCGATTTCTGCGAAAGGTCTCCCTCATTATCTCAAACAACTTTTGTCTGAATAATTTTTTTGTAGAACGCCAACCGTAGAAAATTTCGACGTCGTTTCTTTAAAATGGGACACCCTATATATCATTGCTAAATGAAGCTACAGCATATCACTTGAGCAAAGATCGCTTTAAAGCTCTGACAGGCTTAACTTCCGAAAACGAAAAAATTGAGTTCATGTTTGAGATCATTAAAAAACTTATATCAAATTGAATTTTAAATCAAATCAGCCAATCAAAGGGTCCAACCTGCCCATTGTACGCAAATCACTAATAGCGATTTGCGTACATCACAATATATACTGTAACAGAGCATTTATTCATAAAAACTTAGTACATCGGTGACACATAGCATGATGATTTGCAGTACAATATCATTGTTCACTTGATCTTGTATACTGTTTTTTTGGTGAGTTGAGTATTACAACTCCTCACTGGTCGCATTCCTTACTGTACAACGTATCCCTGTAATTTAAACTTATTTGACGTACATTTACTTATGTTTGAACAATCTATATTAACGTAACTATCTGCAGCAGTATATTTTCCTTTGTATGGAACTCTTTCGTGTACCGACTCCCGTTCTCTCTCTCACTCTCACTCTCCCTCTCTCTCTCTCTCTCTCTCTCTGATTTTTTTTCAAGTGAAAATTTCTTGGAGGACTAGATAAAAGTGTATTTATTTTCGATTTTTGAAAAAATAAATAGTGCGCGCTCTGTCCAGCTATGAAATTTATTTTTAGGTGACCGACGTTTCATTCGCTACTTCTATACTCTAGCCTTTCTATGCCCGAAAGCAAACCTGAGAACTATATCGATTGTCTTTTGCTTTTGCGATTTTGCGCACGTTTTCAACCCATATTCACTTGTTCCCCTTGTCTCTCCATTACAAATCGTGGTGACGGTGAGCCTCGCACCGAGAAACAATTTTACTAGAGACAATATTTCAAGTGAGGTCTAAGAAATTTTATATTAGTTGTTATATAATAATATACTTTAAAATAATAAGATTAATATCAAATGCTTAAAAATAATACAGGATTGCGGTTAAAACTGATTTGATCATTTAAAATGAGTTTTTCCAACATCTTCTCTATTATTCTACAGTTGATAAATGAATTTTCAATCATTTTACATAAAAGTGATTTTTAAAGCCAATAATAGCTTCATTATATTTGTGGTTTGTTGGAGTTATATTCGTATGTGTGTATGACTCTACTCCAGACACGTGCGGGTGTATGTGAATTCGAGGTATAGATGTATGCGATGCTACATGCTCTCTTATCAGAGCGAGTCGGACAGATGAGCTCTAGGATCGCGTATATGCGTGGCATATAATAAACTAGTAAATTTCAAATAAAATTTCTTTGTAACCTTTATTATTTCTACCTATCCTTCTTTTATCAATATTAATGTATAATGATCTTGTAATGAAAACCATATTATATATTTAATTATCTTAAGTAAGAGAATTGTTTTTCTATATCGATAAATTTCTAAATAAATGATGTATATTTCACTTAAAAGTTGATTTGTAATTACGTAAACATAATTATCGATATTATCATCATGTATTTTGATAGTTATGAATACACACACAAATACACACACATATACATATATATGTATATATACTTTTTATAGTCGTAATCAACTGACAACACTGCCTCGAGAAGTTTGTCGGCTACCATTGCAAACATTGTTGGTGGCATACAATAGATTGGAGGCTCTGCCCGACGAATTAGGAAGGATGACTGTTTTAGCTGAACTTGATGCCGGTTGTAACGAAATAACTAATTTACCATCCCGTATGGGTGATCTTTCTCAACTCAGGTGTTTGGATCTAAGGTGTAATCTACTAGTTCAAATTCCTATAGGTTAGAAAAAATTATGTACAATCATTTTTTTTCCAACCATAACTTAATCAGTTTATAATAATATTTTATTTCAGAATTAACATACCTGAAACTCATCACATTTGATATTAGCGGCAACCGAATATCCGTTTTACCTAATGAACTCAGAAAGATGAAAAGTTTGGTTGATTTCAAATTATCAAATAATCCATTGACTTCACCACCTGCTGCGGTAATCAATATTTTTGTATAATTTTTATTAATCAATGTGAGTAGTTGATCAGTACAATAAATGAACATTCGTCAATTAAAGGACATTCATGAATAATGATTTAAAAAATTATTACAAAATTTTCTTATTTTTTATAAATATAAATGTTAAACTCGGCGAACAATATAACTTTTTTTAATGATTACAAAATTATCAACTCATTAAATAATTCAGGACTTTATTTAAAATTCGTTCAAACTGGAAAGTTATTTCATATTATTTTTATGTAAGAAATATATAAGCTTTATAGAAACTGCCTATACATATACCCAAATACAAGGGTAGGTCAATAAGTTCTTAGAAAATCCAAGATATGGCTCTCAAAGCATTCCAACTTATGTTGCACCAGCAAGCGTCACTATTAAATAGAGTGCTGCCGAAGTTTCAGCCAGATCCATCGAATAGTTTCATTTTTATCATCGATCAAAGTAAACGACTTTTGTTTCTTGTTAAGAATGGAAAAAAGTGAGTTCCAAGCGGAATTAAAGCGAAATAAAAATAGAGCGGTATAATAACATTTCTATTTAAAAGACCTTACACCGAATGAAATCAAAGCTGAGTCAGATGCAGTTCATGATATATCTGCCCCTGTGTTTGCAACTGTTTACAATTGGGTAAATAAATTTCAACGTGGGCATACATCGATTGCAGATGAACTTCGTTCAGGCCATCCTGTAGACGTAAATACTCCGAAAATGATCAATAAAATCCACGACATGGTGTCGAATGATCAAAAAATAAAATTGCGCGAAATAGTTGAAACCATAGGGGTTTCAAAAGGTACAGTCATTTCGATTTTGCTGAAAAATTGGACATGAGAAAAATGGTACCCCGGGGTAAGAGGGTCGATTTGGCACCCGAGCTGGATAATAAAATTAACTATTTTGATGCATTCTATATCCGAAAAGATTAAGTTTGCCGCCGACCGGAACTTCCTAGACCCCTCCCAAGCCTATCTACATACAAAAAACCAGTGTTTTCACGTTTTATTTTTTTTCTCGGGTTGAAAAAAAGATGTCGACACCGGGTTGACGGCATTATTTTCTTTGAGTAATTTCCTTTCACTGTGATTTTTTTCAGGAATATATATATATAGGAACTGACCTAAAAAAAATATTTAAACTTTTAAATCGCTCTAGATTCAACCCACATTGCGTTTCAGGCACGAATTTTTGTGAGGAGGTTCAAAATTGTATACTTTACCCCCCCCCCCCCGAATTGGTTTCAAATCGCTAAGAATGGTGGGTCATAGTTAAAAATCCAAAAAACCCGTTTTTTTATTGTTTTTCGATGATAGCGCTCCAACAGGAACAGCTAGGACAAAACTGATGTTACCATTGTGTTCTACGGGAAAAAATACATCGAAAACATGTATCACTTTACCTCCCAATCATTCGCGACTAGGCTTTACACACAAGAAGAGAAGTGTAGACTGCAGCAGGCTTACCAACAAAAACTCCCATTTTTATACTTTGGTCTCCATATCATTGAACACAAATATTTATGATGATTGTCATGTTCATTTTTACGTATTTTTTCCCGTAGAACTCGATCGTGATATTAGTTTCATCGTATCTCCTTTTAATCAAGCGGTAATGGCCGATAATTACTGGAAAATGGCTATAAAAACCAAGTTTTTGCTCAAAATTTTAATCTTAACGTTAATCCGTAGCTATTATTCAACTTTTCAATCTATGCACACTCGCACATGCACATATACAGGCAGGTACACAATAATATATGGTATATATAATTTCGATTTATCGATTTATTTATCTATACATAAATGATTATATATACAACTTAACACTTATTTCGATGAAAAGTATTAATCATCATCATCAGAGTTTTCTTCAATCACGGGATAAACTTTTTCATAACTGAATAGTTCAGTCAATATTCCGGCAGGATTAACTATCCGCGATAAATACCTAGCATAACTTAAGTAGTATATCACAGCAGCGACATGCGAGCAGCAGCCAACAGTTCTCTTACCATTCGCGCAAGAACAACAGTATCGTTTGATACCATTAATACCATTAGTGTTGGCAGAATAGTCTATATACGCTCTATAAATGTTGCGGTTAACATGTCTGGATTGTACTTCAAATTTTGTAATGTTGGGCTTTGCCTTCAAATAATGTAGCATGAATGTATTGTCCTCCTGAAGCAATTCAGCCAAGTATGAAACAGCTTGTGTCAATTGATACGTTCCTGTAAATAGGATTTTCAAATCGTTTAACGTCATTCTAGGAAAATCTGATAAGTCATTTGATGACAACTGCTGGAATGGTACTTTTCTAGCGTTCCACTTTTGTTTCTCAACTTCGTCGGTTAAGGAGTTTTTTTCAATGTTCTTTGTAAGATTGATTCTGTCAATAATTTGATCCAACATTCCAGCGTCAGAGTTCAATCTTTTTCCAAACAAATTTTGTAATAAACAAGCAATTCTGACGTATATTCCAGCCTTTGGTAGCATGGAATTGTGAAATTGGTGATGCAGGAGCTTGTTTTTTTGACCAATAATTCCATGAATTGCTTCAACGACCCATCTAATCTTTGTTACCATTCGGGATGAGTTTGATTCTTTGGTAGAAAGTTGGTTTTCTTTTTTACCTTTTAGAGCTGGCATCAAAACAGTGAATCCTTTCTCGGTTAATTCATCTACAACATCCCTAAAGCCTCTATCTAGGATGAAAATATCACCCTTCTTCAAAATTCGACTCAATCCGTCAGGTTGCTTCAATATTTCTCTTAATATTTGTGCATCATTGAGGTTAGCCGTAAAAGGTCCAGGTTCCTCGACTATATAACCATTTGTAGTACAAATAGTAAATGGTTTGCACAGTGGAGTTTTTTTCTGCCCCGAAAATGACTTACGTTGATAAAAGTTATTACTACTCTTTTCGTGGCGTAAGTAAGTCCCATCACATATCAACGCTAGTATTCCATCTCTTATATTGTGCAGCTTTTTTGCAACTTCAGATGTTTGGGAAAGAAAAAATTCTCTAGAATGAGCACTCAATCCAAAATGGTTTGGCAATACGTGTTCTTTAAAACATTTCAAAACAGAATTAATAAATTCTGTGATTTGTTTCTCTTCAAGATCAAAAATCGCCGAAATACATTTATCAGAATTGCCAGTTTTCATCTTGAATAAAAAAATTACTAAAGCTTGGAATATACTTCGATTTTCAGAGGATCTCATAGATGTCATCAAACTTTGAAGTTGTTCAATATCCTGCCGCGTATAACCCGTAAGAGCTTTAATGCGTTCATCGGAAATGTGGCAATTTCCTATCTGATCATGAAGCCGAGAGTCTGCTCTATCCGACAATACATCCATGAATTTTATAAGTTCTGTGGCTGCTACGCTACTTTCATTGGAAAAAATCACTAATCTTTGTAATTCATCTTCATAAAATTTTTTATTTATTAAATGATCACGACAACATCTATTATTTTGTGGAATGAAAATTTTTCGGGCGACAAATGCTTGCATTCGAGCTTCAAATGGCACGTGTTGAATTTCCTTTGTACAATTTGTACATTTGGTTTCCTTTGTACATTGGCACGTAGATTTGCACATAAAACAAAATCTATGGCTTATAACTACTCTCGAAAAGGGCATGGTAACGTACTCAACCTCATATTTTGAGGGTGGAACATAAACTGAACTTTCACTAGAGTTACTTTGTGTATCAATTGTTTGTGAAACTTCATTGCTTTGACTTCCTGATGATGCTAAATTACTCATTAAATTGTAACGGGGGCAGCGCCTTATTCGGCACTGACGTCACTAATTTATTAAGGGGAGAGTAAGAGAGGCACTTTCGCTCTTTAACAATCGGGGAACGAGAGGATAGGTCGAACGAATAAATAATTTTCTTTGCTTGGAACGTTCAACTTAAATCTATTCAGACAAACAAATACAAAATCAGTTACAATAACGTTTACATCACGCGCACATATACAGAACAACTTAAACTAACGCGGGAGGACGAATGGCCCGGCGACTAAATCGCCTTGGCCATTTACCTTCTTACAAAGGAAAGAATACGTTGAAACCTCTCTACCGCATTACGATGAGCGTAGCCGGCAAGTGATCGCCTGGCTACCTATCGTTCCTACGCGGCCGCGCATCACCATGAGAGAGAGAAACACCGGGGGAGAGAGATAACCTGACCTTTGCCCTTGGCGATGAGCCGGCAACGGGGAGTTGATCTGGCCGCTGGCTGGATGTCTTCCTCGGCATAGCCCGTGGTGAATCCCCTGGAAGTCATGCCGTGCATGGCGGCGAGGGCGACACTGAATGCCCTGCTGCAGGTGTTGCCTCCACACGTTGCCTCGGCTCGCCCTGGTCTGGTCACTGCTGCTCGTGTACTTCTTCTCTCATTGCGCTGCTACTTCCAACTTCTCTCCTCAACTTTCTTTCGAGAACTACCTCACTCTAGTAAGGCTCGGCTGCGACTCTCTCACGCACTAATTCTTGCGCGCATCTTGCAGTCGCTCAGCGGCGCTCGCTCCTCTCCCTACCTTGACCTATTAGTTAGGCGGCACGCGACGCGTCGCTTATCGGTCACGCGTTGCGCGCCTGCCAATCCCTGCATAGGCCTAATACTCTCTTTCTCTCTCTCTCTCTCTTTCTCACTCTCTCTCTCTCTGTCTCTCTCTACCTCTCTCTGTCTCTCTCTACCTCATAGTCGCTGCGCTCTTGTTTCTTCGGGCGCTCTCAATCTTGCTCGGCAATCTTCGGCGGCTGGAAAAACATAAAGGCCAGTGGTTAGGCGCAATAAATATATGCGCCGAACGCTGACCACGTCGCCATGCCGAGCGATAAGAGGGAGAGAGAGAAGAAGGGCAGACGAAGAGCAAGCGTACTGCTTGCTCTCGTCACAAAATCATGATTTTGACTATCGGTTTGTGGTTCATCAACAATTGGAATCGACTCACTACTGGAT